AGAAAGAGGGGGCACCTGGGTGGCTCATCTGGTTACTAAGCATCCCACTCTTGATTTCGGCTCAGGTCATGATGTCCTGGTTCATGAGATTGAGCCCCGTGTCAGGCTCTGTGCTGACAGTGCGGAGCCTGCTTGGGATTCTCTCTTTCCCTCTCTCTTTCTCTCCTTCTGCCTGCCTCTCCTCTCTCTCTTTCTCTCTCTCTCTCTCTCAAAATAAATAACTTAAAAAGCTGCAGAATGAGATAAGAGGGAAAACCGGAAGGGAGAAAATTATAAAAGAAGCAACACAAGAAGCTTCCCTGTGGGGAAGGCCATGAATTTATAGACTGAAAGGGCCCTGTGGTACCATGGAGTACCCCGCACAGGGACTGACAAGAACCCCAGGGCCAGCTTCACCGTGGTACGAATATGCAGCACTGTTCACAGCTGAGCCGACTGTTTACAAAACTCTCCTTGCTTATAGATGCTGCTTCTGGGACTGCCCTGCCTGACCCCGGGGGTGATCTCACAGTAGCAGGAGACTCCAGGACAACGGGACTAGACAAGGACCGAAGGGCCCCCTGGAGGAGAGAAAACCTGGGAGTCCGGCTGCATCTGTCCGGCTTGTCAGCAGCAAGGCCAGAAGACGAGCCAACCATGGAGTCTTCAAAAGGACAGAAAATGGCGTCTGTGCAGAGTCTAAGGCAGAGGGAGTTTCAAACAAGCGTGAACAGAGAACAATGCACCGACAGGCCTCATCTGCAAACATCGCCCTTCGCGTCGTACTCCTCAGGAGGCTGCTAGAGAATACGACTCCCCACAGGAAGGAAACCAAAGATGATGACGAGGTCCCGGAATACGGAAGGTGGGCCTGGGTTCTCAGAGTGAGGAAGGAGGGAACCCCTCTCCCCTCCAGACGCCTCCCGCTGTGCCAAAACTTGCTGCGCCCCGCGGGGGCAGGCGGGAGGGTGATCTGGGCAAATGGGCTTAGCCAGCTTTCCTGCTCTGACTGTAGCACTGCAGGGTCTTCTGGGGGGTGTCCTTTCTGGGGGCTATCCTGCTGCAGCCCTGTTTCCTACCCAGCAAGCAGTTCTGACTGTGCAACTTGGAACAAGGAAGCCCACTGCCCAGAGTTACGGAACACACTCTCCACTGCACTCTGCAAGTAACTGCAGTGCCGTCTTGACGTCTGTCTGCTGGCTCTTTCGTCTGATTTCTCAAGTGGCTGAGAACTCAGCAGGCCAACTGGACAGGAGCCTCAAGAGAAAGACCAGGACCTCCTCATGGCTCTCAGGTTGGACCCAGTGGCCGAACTCTCCGCCCAGGGCTACTGCACAAGCCCTACCTGCCTGCAGACTCTGGCTTTATGCAGGAACAGCGGCTGCTGCCTGACCTCAAATTGGCACCCAGGGGCAGCTTCTCTGAAGCAGACATGGCTCCCACACATCCTCCCCTATGTGGACTAAAGTCCCCTCATAACCCAGCCTTTAGTCATGCAGGGGTGAAGCAGCTAGCCATGCTGCTCAGCCAGGTCTGCAGGCAAAGCCCTCACTTCAAAAGCACGAAGGCCACAGGAGGCGTCGCTGCTGACCCCATCAGGCCGGCCATGATGGGCAGTTGCCTAGAGCCTTGAGATGCACAGGCAGTGCTTCTTGTACATCAACTTTACAGGAGCAGAGCCAGACTCACTCACTCACGTACGGTCTGTGGCGGCTCTCGCGCCACATCAGAGCCGAGCGCCACAGCGGCTCCACTGGCCTGCGGTACTTCCTGTCTGCACTTTCAGAGCTGGTGTGCTAACTCCTGGCCGACGTCCCTACTTGTATCTTTCCCATCTTCGAAAACTAATCTTGACTCTACTGCTTTCTTACCCACCACCTCATCCATCTATCCATCCATCCTATTCCTTTCCTCAAAAAGGAAATTTTGGTTTAATTTTAATTAAAATCTAACTTTGGGGCGCCTGGGTGGCTCAGTCGGTTAAGCGTCCAACTTTGGCTCAGGTGGCAGTCCTGCAGTCTGTGGGTTTGAGCCCCACGTCGGGCTCTGTGCGGACAGCTCAGAGCCTGGAGCCTGCTGCGGATTCTGTGTCTCCCTTTCTCTCTGCTCCCCTGCTCACACTTTGTCTGTGTCTCTGTCTCTCAAAAACAAACATTAAAAAAATTTTTTTAATCAAATTAACTTTAATTTTTTTAATTTTTGATTTTTTATGTAAGCGATACGTACACCGGCTTTCAAACTCAGACAGTTGGACAGGGCCTGTAAGGCGGAGCAGCCTCCAGCCTCCCGTGTCCATCCTCAGACCTGCGGTTAACCTCCGTGTTTCTAAATAAAATACAGATGCATTTCTTCATTTGTCACCCTCAGACGTTACAAACCAACCTCCCATGACGGAGGATGAAGACACAGCTCTCCTGCTCCCTGCCCCTCACCCTGTCTGTAAAATCCAACCACAACTCTTAAACCCAGGGCTTAGTCTACCCCGTGTGACTGTGCAGACACTGCTTACAGTGGAGCTGACGTGCTCACTTCGGTCCCATTCGCTAACTTCTCTAAGTCCCCAGAGTCATGGTTTTCTCACAGCTTTGTTTTCTTGGCTTTGTGCTCAGGCACGAATTTTCTGACTCCCCAACTTTCTGACTCTGAACACAAATGTCTCCTGGCTCACTGATGCCACTCCAAGATCCTTCTGCCCCGATCCGGAATACATGGCCCTGCCCCTGCTCCCCATCTTGCCACCAGTGCCCTCTACACAGGGAGGGCCATATAACTTATCACCAAACAGGACACATTAGGGGTAAGAGGGTAAAAGGGATGGGGGACACCCACAGGGACGCCGAGACAAGGGGCACTGACCAGGCATGTCCCGTGCACAATGGCTTCTATCCGACTTTCTGCAGATGGCTACCACAGCCCTAAACCCGCAGGCTCCTCACCAACAAGCCCCTGCCTCTGTCTCGGGCTCTCCTCTGCCAGCATCTGCAGGGCTCCCTGTCAGAGGCTGTGACAGACCACCCTCACTGGGTGTCCCTAGATTGAATGTCCCCTGCACAGACACTTCTCGTCACCCTCTCCAGCTTTTTCTCCTAAGACAAAAGTCAACAAAGACTTCTGTAAAAGTACAGAGAGTAAGTATTTTAGACAGTCTATGTTGTAACTAGCCAACTCTGCCCTTGTAGTCACCAAAGGCTGAGTGTGGCTGCCTTCCAACAAGACTTTCTTCACGGACAAGGAAATGTCAACGTGGTACCAATTTCATGTGTAAAAAAGTATTATCCTTTGATTTTTTTCAACCATTTAAAAATGTAAAACTATTCTAGGGTGCCTGGGTGACTCAGTTGGTTAAGTGCTGACTTCAGCTCAGGTCATGATCTCGCGGTTTGTGGGTTCCAGCCCCGCGTCGGGCTCTGTGCTGACAGCTCAGAGCCTGGAGCCCGCTTCGGATTCTGTGTCTCCCTCTCTCTCTGCCCCTCCCCTGCTCACACTCTGTCTCTCCCTCCCTCTCTCAAGAATAAACATTAAAAAAAAATTTATGAAAAAAAATTTAAAAGAAAACGTAAAACTATTCTTAGCTTGCAGGCCATACAAAAACAGGATTTGACCTGTGGGCCACAGTCAGCCAACCTAAGACTTTACCACCATCCACTATCTGGCTGTCTACAGACACTGGAACCCGAGGGGTACCCTGTCTGCACCCATTCCCACTGTGTCCTTAGTCCCAGGCTCTGCCACTCTGTCCTATACTCTCATTCACACACCTCCGTCCTCACCCCCAGCCCTAGCCACACCACCACCGCCCTTCTGTCATCTCCTAACATGCTGGCCAAATGCTGAATGGAACATTTTAGGAAAAACTCTGAGAATGGTCAGTACTACTCACGACATGGCCTATTTCCTCTGATCCCAAGTCCCCGTGGTCGAGCAGTCAGATGCCACCCACCCCTCCTGACAGGCCATCTCACCAGGTTGGGACCTACTTCCCACCAGTGTGCAGTCCCATCTGCTTCTCTGTCATGGGGTCAGTCTTCCCTCAACACATGTGCACTCAAGATACTCAGAACACAGCATAACTCCACACAACTCACGATGAGAAATCACACACACAGAGATTCAGAAATCTCAAACCCCACAAAAACAGACCCCACGGGGAGTGGCCTCCTTCCTTCTCAGATGGGGTAAATGTTTAAAGTGGGCTTTTTTGTCAGAAGCCCTGGCTCTGGCTGTCCTCAAATGCTGCCCACCAGCTCCCTGCCTGCCCTCCCTGCAGCCCTGCCCAGCTCTGGGCCCCCGTCAGAGCCTCGGTACATACTTGAAGCGGACCTTCTCCTCCATGTCCAGAGGTGGGTCCTGTGTGATGAGGCTCACCAGCTCCTCCATACACTGCTGCCTGCAGAGGAAGCCAAGCAGCTTCTGGTTCTGAGCCTTGCACTCCTGTAGGACGTCATCTTCGTCCAGTAACTCGCGCAACGTCACGTCCTCCTTATCCAGCAGCTTGTCGACATGGGACGTGGTGTTCAAGTCAAACTTCCAGAACATGGTGACGGCCACGAAGCTGCAAGCAAAGATTTGAGGGTCACTTCCCCCAAGCAGCGCGAATCCGCCCTCAGAAAGTCTACACCAAAGCCCAACGAGTCCGTCCCCGGCACGAGCCAGGGCTGGAGGGTGCTCTCCCCAGGAGCTGCCCTCAACACATCTCCCCGGGTCCAGCTCCAAGGCCGGCAAGAGCTCCCCAGCTCCCAGCGCCAAGCCTGTGCCTTCTCTGGCTTCCCTCTCGCTGGCTCACCTTCCCTGCTGTCCTTTTCCACCCAATGCTGGACATCCCTTCCGTGCTCTTACTCTCTGCCTCCACTCCCTGAGGCCAGCACATCCCATGTCTCCCATGAGTCAGCACTGGGGATGCCCCTCCACCCTAAGAAGGTTAGCAACTCTACAGCCACCTCCTCAGGGTCCCACCCCTGCCTGTGTGAACACTAAGCATCTCTCCCCAGCTGCATACATTTTTAATTTCCTGTACATCACGTTTGACATCTTAAAAAACCTCTCTGGCTAGGAACAGGCTGCCCCTCCCAGGACCAGCCAATTCTTAAAGACAGCAAGGGGCCCAAGCCAGAGCATCACGGTGATCTACTCCATCCAGAGCAACTACTCCTCTCTGGGCCCACACATCCCAGGAGACAATCTTCCTCTGCCTTCGTTATTCCACAGCCAGGGGCCAGGCAACTAGGGACCACCCCTACAGCTTAGAGCCCACCAAAATAATTCAAACTAGCTGATCCTAAGCTGTTCATCCTGCCATGCCTTATCTTTCCTGTGGAAACCCCAATAAAGGTCATGGCTTAAGTGTTCCCCGACTCCTGTCTTATACCTCCCGACCCCCCTGGGGTTTCCCCATGTGGCTCTGGGTGAGGCCCACACCTCCTATCTCCAGGACTGGACGTATAACAAACTTAGTTTTCCTGAGCCTCCCCTGTGTCTCCTCTCCTGCCCATGCCTGACTCACCATCTCACAAAAGAACACCAGACATCTGGCAGACCTCAACCTAAGCAAGTCAAACTCCTGACAGCTCACTTTGCTTGACCCTCAGCAGCTCTGCTGTCCCCCAGCCAGGCCCCCCCTTTCACCACCCATCCCACCAAATGACCCAGTCTTATCCTTGAAGCCACAATCTCCCTCACATCCACACCCCTGACACTAGGCCCCACACCACAGCCACCTGAGGAATCCCTATGGATCCCGCCATCCCTCTGCGTCACACACCACCCACCCTCTCCAGGCTCTTGCTGTCTTTGCCTGGACAACACAAGGTTTGTCCTGCTCAGTGAGTGTCACAGGGCAGGCTCTGAGGGCCTAGGCTGGTTTGCAACAAAGTTTTCACTGTTTGATACAAAATGAAAAACATAAAGCCTGTTATGTTTAACAAAGTTAAACCTGTATTTTGAGATTATGAAATCTCTTCTTCAATGTTACATCGATTGTTTGCAAAATTATGGTAACGGGAGATGGGATTTATCTTCTCTAGTATCTTTAATCAGAAGAATAAAAGACCTCACACAACGTAGAAGCTGCAATTTGTGTGTGTGAAGCCCACTGCCCTAGGAGCAGGCTCCACCACATCCAGCCAGCCCCCTTTCCTTCCTTTGCAGCCTCTTGCCTTTGCTACATCCAACTCACTTTTTCAAAACACAGACACTTTCAAGTTCCTCTCAACTCAGCCGCAAAACCTCTGCTGCCCATATGCCTGCCACTCACCAGGCTGCACTTTACAGCATTCCTCCAGGCCCTCTGGCACTTCCTGCTTTCTCCCTAACCCTACCCTTGCCACAAGGACGTTGTCTTTCTTCCCACACAAACTACACTTTCCTACCTTTATCCTTCTGCGCATGCTCTTGTGCTCAGTCCCTCCTATGCCAATGTCCCACTCACCTGCCAGAACGAGCTAAGCAACAGCACAGCCTGGGCTTCCCTCTGGCCAGCACCTGCACTGTCAGTGGGGCCTCTGACTTGCAGCGCAAGCGACTCCACAGTCTGACACTATACTTAGTTTCTTTCTGGGTCCTAAGATCTTCCTATTTCTGTTGTGAGGAATGTAGATGGATATTTGTGGGTGGAAGCAATATACCCTGTGAGAGCAGAAATAATTACCAGTAGTTTCAGGATAACACGGCTGTCTCTCCTAAATGCCCTGCAGAACGACTCAAACACTTGAATAACATACAATCCAAGGAAAGAGAGGAACCACAGGGAGACTCCCGCCCTGCCAAGGTTTTCTTCCAAAGAGGGGCAACTAGAGACGGCTTCTGTGCAACCCGCTTTCAGCCACAGAGTGGGTGAGTGGCTGGGTGGATCACATGATCCCATCAACAAAGGAACAAGTTTTTCAAGCAGGATCCTAAAAAAGGACAGGATTAATACAAAAGAAGACAAAAAGATGAAGACAAAGAAGAATAAGAAATAATAAGCAACAAAATCAAACAGGACAAATGGAAAAAAATGGCAAGACAGCACAGCACACATAAACTTAACCATGTCAGTAAGTGTGTTAAATGCAAATGAATAATTTCAATTAAAGACAGAAATAGGGGTGCCTGGGTGGCTGTCTGTTAAGCGTCCAACTCTTGGTCTCAGCTCAGGTCATGATCTCATGGTTCATGAGTTCAAGCCCTGCCGTCGGGCTCCGTGCTGACAGTGCGGAGCCTGCTTGGGATTCTCTTTCTTCCTCTCTCTCTGCACCTCCCCCACTCAAGTGCTCTGTCTGTCTCTCTCTCTTGCTCTATTAAATAAATAACCTTAAAAGATGTTTAAAAAAAAGAAATAGATAAGATTTTAAAAAGCAAGAACTGTATTCGGGGTATTAAAAGCTTACTTTAAATATAAAGATACATGGGGCGCCTGGGTGGCTCAGTCGGTTAAGCGTCCAACTTCGGCTCAGGTCATAATCTCCCAGCCCGTGAGTTCGAGTCCCGTGTCGGGCTCTGTGCTGACAGCTCAGAGCCTGGAGCCTGCTTCACATTCTGTGTCTCCCTCTCTCTGCCCCTCCCCTGCTCACGCTCTGCCTCTCTCACTCTCAAAAATGAATGTTAAAAAAAAAAATTTTTTTTTAATTTTTTGCAAATCGTATTATCTAATAAATTACTTTTATCTAGAATATATAAAAAACTTAGGGGACCTGAGTGACTCAGTCTTAAGTATCCAACTTGGGCTCTGGACATGATCTCACAGTTCAGGAGTTTGACCCCCACATCAGGCTCACTGCTGTCAGCTCAGAGCCTGCTTCAGATCCTTTGTCCTGCTTGCTCTCTGTCCTCTCCCATTTCCCCACTTGTGCTCTGTCTCTCAAAAATAAGTAAACATTAAAATAAAAAAGTTCACAGTGCTGAGTAGATGCTCAGGGAAGAAGAAGAAGGAGAAGGAGGAGAAGGAGGAGGAGGAGGAGG